TCAATTTATATATATATACGTATATATTATAAAATGGCTGACATATTATAAATAAATGATAGTACCTCTGTAGGATATATTAATCTTGTACTAGTAAGTCTAACACTAACATTTTCTGGCAATAATGGCCTTGCAATATTTACTTCATCAATCCATACTTTTGTTTTCCAAATAAATAATGTCATATACTCAATTAAAATGTACATGTAAAATTAATTAAAAGTAAATTCAAATAAAATATTATTACTTGATAATTTATTTCCTGCTACAAGACTATCAACGGGAACATCAAAAATTTCCCGAACTCCAATATCATCAATAGCAAAATTCAACAAGCTTTTTGTAGGAGGTTCTAATAAACAATTAAACGAATCAACATGAGGCTTTACTATTTCTTGTAATCTAGGTACACCGAATTTCTTTGAATTTGGATTTAAAAACAATTTTTCTCTCTCGAGTGTGTTAAAACTTGAAGACATTTTTATTTTGTTATAATCAAAAAAGCTCCCACCCAATATTTATAAAAAATTTGTTGATAATCTCAAATCACATGATTTAAAAACCGACAAAAATTTCTGATATTCAAAAAAAATTTGCATGCTGTTACTATATAGAGTTAAATTTGAACGGAGTTTATGATTTGGAAAGATTTTAAATTGAACGTTTAGTCAATGGAATTCAACAAGGAGAAATTGTTCCATTTATTTTAACAAAGTACTAGTACAATACACAAAGACTTAAATTCACTACATAGTAAACATATAATTTTTTAATAAATAATTTTTACAGATAATATTCTTATTAACACCTTTAAAAAAATTTCTTTGCTATATATTTATTATTATAACGTGCAAGAAATGCTAAAATATTCCAAGATACTGGTTCTAATTATCAAATAATAATAATCAACCCTTATATCCCATTAACAACAACTCTGTAATTGATAAGAATTCATTTGAAAGAAATATTCAATCACCTGGTAAAGTTGTTGTTAGAGAAAATAATAATAGTGAATTCACATTTACTTAACAACAAAAACAAAAGAAGAATTATTATTATGACTCAAGTAAATCATCATTATCACCAGAAGGAGATGAAGGGCATTTGCCATCTCCACCTGAATACACTGTTTCTGTTGCTAATTTTGAAAAGTTCTGATGGCATTACACCTTGTGATTCAAAATTAAATAAAGAACCAGGATCATTGTATAGGTTTACATATGTTTATGATTGCATATAATGATGGCAATAAAAATACATGGGTATCATCATACTCAAACAAGAAGTTATAGTTATTATTTGATTAATTGATTCAAGTGAAAATTCTTGTCTTGTCACTTGACTGAAATCATCAGGTTACAGATTTCTTGATTTCTTGATTACAATAAATTTAACAGAATACATTTGGCTGTTTTTACAATCTCAAATCTTAACAATAATCTGAATCTTAATTATATTGGCCATTAAAGGTATTGCAGTGATATAGAAATCACACATCCAATAAAAGATGATATAGTAAAATCTCAATCAGACCATAAATTTGCAGGAATGCCTCAACTCAGATTTTATGTTTCCTCACTTATCTTTGCATAATTTTTTTGACCTTTAGTCTGGATATATAAAAAATATTTAAAAATAAAATTAGAAACAATTTTTATATGTCAATATCACCAAGAGATTGGTATGATCAAAATGTAACCTTATTATTGCAAATGTTAAATGGTTATAGCCAATAATTTTATTGTTATTGTTATTATTATTATAAATTGTATTTTATATAATCTATTTATTTTCTTTTTCTTTTTCTTTTTTAATCTCTTCGATCAATTGTTTAGGATCAAATACTAATAGTGAATTAATTTGTTATGACATTAGTAACATTAAATAATAATAATAATCTTAAATTATAAATAAATGGGATTGTGCCAACAATTTTTAGTTTTTGCCAGAACCATATTTTATTGGCACAGTTCCCATGTATGAAATGGCTTTTTTTTACTTGTTTTATCAGTTTCTGCAGCTTTTCTCATTACTGTCATGATTTGCTTCATTCTTTCTTGATTTTCAGGACCTTCGATTGAATGTTTAACTTCAGGTGATAATTTCTAATAAAATAAAATCCAAAAAATTTATATAATAATTTAAAAAATACATCAATTATATATTAAAAATAATAACTTCATATATTTGCTCTCTGGTTGGTGTTGAAAATTTCATTAATAAATATCCAAATCCGATTATTGAGGTGCCTGCAAACAATGCTTTTACATATGGATGACTTGACATTTTTTTTTTAAAAAAATTCAATTGTGCCACAAAAAATACTATTACTATTACTATTGTATGCTTGTAACACGGGAACGATAATTTCCGGCGTTAAAGCCGCCGAAATGTAACAGACCTTGGGTATCAGAAGCAAAAATTTGAATATCTTTCAAAGATACAAGAGTGGCTGAAAATCCTGGTCACTTTAGATTAGAGTTGATAGTGGTCTTAACAAATTTAATAAGTGGGCAATGCTGTGACAAAACTAGACAATGCGAACATTATGTCACAATGTGCTTTCATTATTCTTTTCCTATTCAATAACTTCCATACAGAATAATTGGAGCTTACTTTTCTTTCATCTCTTTCACCTTTACTTTCAGGTTTTATCTAGCTTAATTTGTTGAATTTTGCTTTCTAATTTTCGAGTTTGGATTACCATTTTTGTTTTTTTTGTTTAATTAATTCTTGAATAATTTTCATTGATTTAGAGTTTTGACTCTTTAATTCTTTAACTTTATTCTAAGTTACTGAATAAGTTTTGCTGTTCAGGGTTGTTTTCTTTATTATCATCATTTAAAAATTTAGCTGCTGTTTTAATTGAGCAATATCATTCTCTAGTTGCTGATTATTTATTTGCTTGCTCTCCTCTTTGTTTTTTTGTTCATTATTATAATCATTCTCTAAATCTTTTATTTTTTTATCCTTTAACTTCTGATATTGCTAATCCTTATTGGTTATAATTGGTTTATGTCCTCATTTCCTTCCTTTAATACCTTCTTTTGCTAATTGTTGCATTGTCATTTACTTTTTTTGACCTCATTAATAATAATAAGTTGGACACATTTATTTATATTTGGTTTGCTTTAATTTTGTTGTCAATCCATTTGACTCATTTTCTAATTGATTGATTTCATTACAGAACAGTTTGTAACAGAACAGTTTGTAATGTAATATTTTACTCGTAGAATAAAGAGAAGCCTCTTACCTCTGAGAAGATCAAACAAAATCTAGAAAAGTTGAGGGGAAAACTTATGGTAACTAATGCTATATATTTATCGGTTTATAACACCATCGAGAGGTTTTTTCACATTATATTACTTTTCCAAGAACGGTACATCTAAACTTCACCGAGAATTAGTTACCGCTTTGAATGGGTTATCAATTTCTGAACTAACTTTGAGGGATCCTTTAGCTAGCTGAGTTATCAGTGATGATTCGCAATTAGTCCAACGATTATCAAAGAAACAAAAAAAAAATTCATGGTAAATTTGAATTTTGTGTAGATCGGATTGTGTTATCTTAAATGATAAATTCTGATTCGTTTTAAGAAACCGGTGGAAGATATGGTGCCATCAACAATACCTTCAGTTATACGAGAAGAATGCAATAAATTTGTATCGAATTTTACGACACGAAGCATGTTAAGGTTGCATAAAGGATTATCGCATGATGGAAACTGGAAAGAAAGTAACGATAGGCTTAAGGAAGTTGCATTAAAGATTCTGGATACAATGAGAAATGTTTGGAATAATCCAGCTTTTCGTCCCGAATTCGTTGAATCGTTGAATGAAGGTACTTATGTAAATAATGTAGTTGTATCCGCAATTCATGTTTCATTATTTGATAACCCCTTTAGAGAATGTGCATTTATTACCACGTAAGTTCTTGTAATATCATATAACGATATCAAATAAATTGATTTCTGAAATTTGGAAAGATACTTGTTCTTTTTTTTTTCAGCTTTGAACGCCAGAGTCTCGCGAGTGCGGATAGGAAAAAAAATAGATAAACGAATGGGGCGACGGCCAGGTATTACATCAGGAAAATAAATCTTACGTAAACCTACATAGGGTTCAGAATTGGCCAGCATTATGTCGATATTTTGGTAATTCTGTTAACATTTCCGCATAATGCTGGTCAGTTTTAGGTTTACGTGAGATTTATTTTCCTGATGTATGCTTATCTCTAAGGAAAGCAATAAATTATATGAACTTATGTATGCGGAATGTTTGCGAATTATCTGTACCATACAAAAAGAGGAAGCTGATAGTATGAAATTATGGCGCGAAACGAATGATGGAATGTATTGGGCACTTAAAGGCCGTAGGGTAGAAAATAGCCAGTTTGGCATTGTTGGAGTACAAGTGTCGGGTTGTAAATTACGTTTGAATGTTCTTATCAGAGATTCGGTCGAGGTGCATCGTTATTATAATTTGCGGGAATCTGAAATATCGATCAGATATTCAAACGATCCTTCTATTCTAGAGGAATTCATAAATACTTTGCTAATTTTACGGAATATCTTAATAGTTAATATGTCCTTATTACGTAGTACACGCCCACGTAGATCAAGTAGAAATTTAGAAGAAGATAGTTCAACTATATCATCTGATGTCGAATAAATATATATATATAGTTTTTTCCGATAATTTTTCTCTACATGCTGAGAATATTTGAATCGAGATTATTCGCTTTGAGATATCTACATAATCAAATACCTCATTTACATCTTGTGTCTTCTTATTTATAATAGTTATATGACCTTCATGAATAATGTGATCATATTTACCCAGTTTTGATATTGCATATACTGTTTTGAGTTCATAGTAAATATGCCTAGAGTTTTTTCTTAGAATTGCGAGACATAGTAATATATTATGTATAATGACGTATTGTATCAAAGCATTGAAATTCAATTTTTTTTTTCTTGGCAAAAGTGATCGGCGTGGACAATGCTTATACGTTTCCTAAAATCATCAGTTATTAATGTTAAAATAATTGTGGATTCTTTACTTACTGTTCATTGCAGATTAATAAATTCGTTACGACCATTTTTAATATTATCATTGATATGGGGATATTTTTAAAAAATTGCAATTTAATAGCAAAATAGTAGTATTAAAAGTTACTGAGCAAATCAGTCACTATGTAGGAGTTTACGTTTATAAATCTAATAAGCTAACACTAATACATGATTATCTGTAAGATACATATAATAATTATACCATTTCTATTGTGCTATTTTCTATTATAGAATAGATTTATAATTTTTTATTTTGCACCTTAATGATCGATATTGTTTATAATATCACCGAATGTTCTTTTATTTTTGAGTAGATTGAATCGATATAATACTGAAATAAGTTAATTGCTAATAACAATAATTTTTTTTGCCATTAAATTATAATTTATTGTAGCAAACCAAAGGAATAATGTATAGTATTTAATGCAAACAGAAATATCTTGAAATAGACAGGACATTTTTGTTTTATTATTAAAAAAAAGGAAAAAAAACCGATTAGATTAAAAAAGTTTCAATACACGTAAAAAGATAATACTTTCTATTTTATATTTTTCAAGAGATAAAGAATATTATTAAATTGTCCATAATTTTGATAATTTCAGCTGAAATTCGTTTAGCTCTTGTTAATTTTTTAGTAAAAAATTTCTAGAGATTAAGGTTTGAATCATAATAGATAAATTTCTTATCAAGATAAAACTTTGTATGCATTTGTACATCGTTAACATAATGATTATTAATCATTATGTACTAGAACAAACAATGTTAGCAAATATATTCATTAATGCTACCAGTCGATCGTTATTTCACAAAAATTAGATAATAAAAAATGTTGTGTCACGCGGTACCAATTTTTTTGTATATATATATGAAAAAATCGCCGAAAAATAATTGTGTAACTAAGCTTTATTAAGTAAAGCTATGATGCTGTCTAACAATAAAAACAACCCAGATTTAAAAAAACTCAAACCAATAATAATAAATAAATTTTTGAATGAGATACATGTAATAAAATATTTATTTACATGATACGAACCAATAAACCACGAAGAAAAATGTCCTATATTAATATACTGGCTTTAAATACCGATGATCTACGATGGATGCACAACGTTTGAGGTCAATGCTCATCCTCTCTTTTTTTTTTTTTCTGTTATTAATAAATAATAGAAAGAAAATAAATAGTTTCACACCATTTTCATTGGTTACCAAAATTAAGTTCAATTTTTGCAAATATAAAAAGGATGTTTTTTCGTCGGTCTTTTTTTAAATGAGTTAGATAAAAATGAGAAGATTTTTTTTTATTTCTTTGTCGTTCCTTTATAATATAAATTTTGTTTTTTCACAAGATGAAAGTCAAAAAACCGAAGATTACAGATATCCAAATAACGATCGTGTGGGATATTACGTTTTCTTAACATTCACTTTGATCACTTTGCATTTAAACTTAATAGGTAAATTTTTTAAATCGAATCAATTAATTTTGAAATGGTTTCGTTTTATTTTTAATTCATTGTATGAAATTTATTTACCATCAGGTTGTTGTTACATATTTTATTGGACTTTCATATACTGGAGAAGAATTGGATCACTCCCAATGGTTTTAAAAGTTCCATTTTATATCGCATGCAGCGACTCCTTAATAACATTAAGCGAGCTCCCAGAATTTGTAATAAAATTACATATACTGTCTAATTTTTAATCAACCAACCAAACCAAATACCATAATAACATTTTTTTATTTTTTTAAATTTTTTTAAAAAAAGTATTATTTAGCAACGCATGGCAAACTTTTACCGGAACTTCAATGTAGAATTACTGGAGTGTTTGTAATATTAATTGTACTGGCAAACGTTTTGTTGGGAGCCTGTATTTCAATAAACACATTTATAAGGTAAATCGAGTTTTATGCATTGAATTGTAATCTTTCAAATACATTTTCGTTACATAACATCATTTTTATTCTTATAAACTTTCAAAGGGTATGTTTAAATAAGCACCCAGGTTTAGGGAAATACGATTGGAAATTATTATCACCTGTCATAATAATAAGTCTTATTTCTACGTCACCAAGTATCGAAAGGTCTGGATCTGACGAATTCTGGTAATTCATCATCATCATAATCATCATTGTTGTTGTTGTTTCGCCACCGTAATTCACGAAATAACAACGCTAATTAATCAATTAGGTGTGGGTCTAGAGACTTGCAAGGCACGTTAATACTATTGACGTCAACTGTGGTCATAATAACGTTTTGTTATGGAAGTATACTTTATAAAGTCAAAAAAATTGATCGACAAACATTAAACGGTAAAAAGCAAGGAAACATACGTACACGTGTATACAAAAAAATAGCTGGATATATTTTAATTTTGATTTTTCAGTAAGTGATTGAAACAAGTGAATTAAAAATTTAAAAAGAAACTATATTTTCATTTACATATAATATATCGTTTTCTAGATGGGCTCCTTCTTTATCAAGATTTGTTTATATCTTGTTCTCGCCGACCACACCGACTTGGCTTTACATTTTAATAGGTGAATAATCAAATCTAAATATGCTTGCTTAATATATTCACGTATTTAACATGAATATATACAATATTTAGGCGTAACAATAAATTCAGGCGGTATCGCGAATGCCTGCATGTATCACTTCCAAGAAGCATTTAAAGAAGAGTTCAACTCTTTTTCATTAAAAGGTACGATGGATGGTAGTAGTAACGAAAATAACCGTAGTGAAGACAATAACAATAACAATGATGGTGGTGGTGATGGTGGTGGTGATGGTGATGGCGACGGTGATGACGATGGTATAAACAGCGAAACCTTAACAAAAGTAGAACTTCATGAAATACCAATTGCAACTAAAGTAGATTTTTATAATGACGATAATAATAAATTATGAACATTTTTATATTTAACAATTATTGAAGTGTTGACTGATTATTTTTCGTTAAATAACAAATCAAAAATATATAGCTAAAAAATATATGATAATCCATTATGAATAAGTTATAGATGGAACTTTATTTCATATTATTAATATTAATATTAATGTTATTGGTGTCGGTCGGTGACCGTCACGCTTTTTTCCTTTTTTTCTTTCTTCGTCTTTAATATGTATCGATGAATTGTTTTGTAAGATTTTAAACAAAATATATATTGACCATAATCATTATCTTCAAAAATCAGCCAGAAGTTTAATTGTAAAAAATAGCCAAATCATTTTCAAAACACAAGAAGAGCCTTTATTTTACAAATCGACACAGACAATAAGATAAATCGTGGACCAATTAATTTCATTGGTCAATGTTAGTACACAGTGAATGACTTATAAATTCATCAATTCGAGGTTGTCTTTTTCTTGGATATTCCTATATATAAGAAATTTCTCTTTTCAACTTTAATACCATTTTTTTGAATGTTTAAAATAGCAAATGATCAGGATTTTACAGCATGGTTAAAAATCCTTTTATGGATAGATTTGCAAGTCACGATTACTACCGTAAAGTCTGGAAAGATAGCATCCCCTTTTTACATATGTGTAACATTTTTTTTTATATTGACGCTCAATTGTTTTAAAGTAGGGGGTGCTATCTTTCCAGACTTTACGGTATTGATATTTCTACAATTTATATGTATAAAGTATTTTAAAATCGAAAAAAGGACCTATTATAAAAACATGTAAAACATGGGACACACCACATAATTACTATATCTCAAATTTTACCAGATATTCTTGTTTCTAGAACCGGTGGTCGTTTTACGAGTTTATTTGTAATAAAGTTGACTCTGAATTTCATTTATTTCAGTCATAGTACCTAAATTTGTTAATGATCTACATCTTTTAATTCCCGCCAACTAAGAAAAGTCATAGAATAATAGTGTTTAAACATGCTACTTTTTGTGTTCTCATGTACAATCGAGCTAATTTAGCTATTATTAGAACGTGTAAGAGGTCAGTTGATATATTTGTGCGATTATATACAGGATATCAAAATTGGATTAACTACACATGGTTTAGATTCTTGTTAAAAATCATGCATATTAAATGGGGGGTTTTCCAGAAAAATCGGGCTCTGAGAATAATATATAAAATTTTTTTGAAAAAAAAATACAGCGAGTCTCGCTCGGTATAACGGGATATGTTTGTTACAGTAAATTTATCCGCTATACTGAGTCATCCGTAACACCGAGATATCCATAAAAAATCGAATTTTTGACTAAATCATGTGATACATGTTACGTAAAAAATTTTTATTTTTAATAATATGAATGCAAATAATAATGATGATAATAAAAATACAGTTGGTAAAAAATTAAAAAAAAAAACAATTCATTCACTTAAAACGTTGACATTATAATGATCTTCCATTCTTGTTTGCGCTTGTTCTTGAGAATTTTTGCAAGAAATTTCACTTTTTATTCTTTTGACATTTCTAATTACTTGAAAATCAATATATAAAATTTCTTGCTTTACATATTAAGTATAGTTTCCGGAGCTTTTATAGCTTTCATATTAATGACCATCATCTCAGGTTCATTTGTTTCATTTGTTTCATCGTTATCAACTTCACTTTGTCCTTTTACAATATTTACGATTTTAGCATATATTGATGGTGTCATTGCCAAGAAATAGCTAGAAATATGTTAGATTAAATTGTGGATGTATTGCTGATTATTACAATTTATTTCTAATTACTACTTTTTTTAAAATCCTTGTCCGCTTTTTCGATAGTTTGTAATTGCATAGTAATTTAGCAAAGAATAAAAAGCGGAAATTAATTATTAAAATAGTAATATTTACGTTCTTAATATTAATATTTAATAATTGCGCGTCATTACTTTTATTAGCCCAAAATAGTAAGGATCATTGTTATACGTATATCAAAAAAAATTTATTACAAGTGACATATAAAAAATATCCGGTAAACCGAATTTATAAAATTGTTATAGAAAAATTTGGGTTTGAAATTTTATCCGCTAAACCCCCAAATCTGGTCCGCTATACCGAGACTCACTGTGTACAGTCGGCGCTCGATATAGTGTACCTACTATATAGTAAATCACACGATATAGCAAAGTTGGAAAATTTCCCATTTCATTACATATAAATTCTGCTCGATATAGTGATTTTTAATATAAACTCTCGATATATATAATGAAGTTTTACTTGGTACCCATTATATTAACTAGAGCTCGATATAGTAAAGTCTTTATTAAAATTTTGTCGATCATTACTTAATATTAATATTAATTGTATTAAATAATAAATTTGAATTTAGTAATTTGTCGCAAAAAATTTTTCATTGACATCATTAATATTAACATTAATATGAATTTGGTAGTTTGTCGCAAAAAAAATTTTAAATTTAGTAATAATATTGGAAAATAAAAATAATTGAATTTAGTAATGTGTCGCGAAAAATAAAGCAATTGAATTTAGTAATATCTTGCGAAAAATAAAATAATTGAATTTAGTAATATCTTGCGAAAAATAAAATAATTTAATTTAGTAATGTCTCACGGGAAATAAAATAATTGAATTTAGTAATGTCTCGCGAAAAATAAGGTAATGTGTCGCGAAAAAACAATTTAGTAATAGGGGTGTTCAAAGTTGTTCCGTTCCTGTTTCCTGTTCCTTGTTACACAGTCAAAATTAAATTTTATTGACTGATCAGAAGGAACAGGAAACGGAACAAATTTGTTGTTTCTCCTTGTTTCCACTTCCAAATTTGGAAACGATTTTAAAAAAAAAAAAATAAAAAAAAAAATAAAAAATAAAAAATAAAAAAAAAATAAAAAAATAAAAAAAAAAAAAAAAAAAAAAAAAAAAAAAAAAAAAAAAAAAATAAAAAAAAAAAAAAAAAAAAAAAAAAAAAAAAAAAAAAAAAAAAAAAATAAACATTAAAAAATTGTCATAAGAGCAAAACAAACATATAGTAATGCGATAGGATAAGCAATTAATAAATGTTGTTCTTTCATTTGTAATACTGTTACAAATATTGTTGAAGATGAATATGTGCTCCAGATTATTGAAATGGCTGAAATAATGAATCCAAATGGTTCGCTAAATAATAATCATAATAAAAATAATTAGTAACTTATTATGTAGATCAAAAGAAAGAAGAAAATAAATAAATACCTTAAAGGTATGCCGATACCAATACAACTTAATAGTACTAGTGGTAATAAACAATACCCAAGTACACTTGCTATACAATATCCATCTACGCTTGACTCACTCATGGAATTCAATATCAAATAAATAGAAGCCCATCCAAGTAATGCCACTCCATAAATATATCCAAAATGTACTTTTCCTGTCTACACAAATAGATCGATTAATCTGTGTAAGATTTGCGTATAGATTTTTTGTAAACATAATTTTTTTATAATCATACCAGTAACAAAGAAATGCCAAATATTAAACAGAATAAAAGTGGCCCAAATAAATCCGCATCATCCATTATGTGTTTGTTCACTGTTTTAAATGGATTTAATACTGCCAAGCTCTAACAAACGAATATAAATTATATTTTCACTTTCACTATCATGTATATCTCTTTCATTTTATAATATATATTTAATTTGTACCTTGGTCTTTATATGATCAAAATTAATTCCAAGCTCTATAATATAATAAATAATAGTTGATTAGTTTAATTTTATTCTCTGAATATTCGCTTTTTAGTTATACATTTTTATTTACCATCAAGCAAAGGTGGTTCGTCAGCAAATCCGCCTGTACCAAACGCACTCAAAAGGCTTCCAGTGCTACCTCCAAATTGATAATTATGATGATGTGAAAAAGTTTGTTGCATTGGTGGTGGATAGAAAAGGGAATTTGACTGTGCTGAATATACACCATCAGGATCCTCATAAGGAGTAGGGTAAAATTGTAAATTTTCTGGTGAGCCATAAACATTGACGTCTGTTCCCTCAAAAAGTACAGAATGTACATGTCCTCCTTCCGCCATTGTTAATTTATTTTTTTAGAGAAGTCTTGGATTTTTTGATTTACAAAAAATTTTGTCGAATTGTACTATAGTGAGTGCGGTCTAAAGGCCTATCAAGTTTTGCACAAATTTTAAAAGTATAGAGATCACTTTCCGACCTACCTTTTAAAAAATAGTTCTATTAGTTCTATTAGTTGATAGAGTAAGCTCTCCCACCAGCTTTAATGTAGAGTTCCATTTTTTTTTTGGTACATCTCGAGAATCATTACTAAATTTAGGATAATTTACGAAAATCATAACTAAAGTTGAAAGTGATAGTCGAGTTATTTCAACAATGACTTTTTGATGCGTATTGTGATTATTTACACTGTTATTACAATTTAACATAGTATGTTTTTATGAATACGAAGAATTTTGTAAGAAGTAATAATATTGAAGTAGAAAGAAACTTGTTCATGGAGAATACAAACATAAAAAAACTGTATCCCCAAGGTCTCTTGAGACAATTTACATAACCTTACACCCGTTCAATATTGATTCCTCTTAACATAGTGATATGTGATCGCGGACCAAAAAAGTGAGTTTGTCATCAGGGTAGAATATAAGGTAGGCGACCTCCACGAACATATTCACGTATTAGTATGGAATGAAATCCGAACACCTCTTATATGAGGATTCCCATTTAGTGTGAATTTAAACTAACTACCAATCTCACTCATTGTTTCCGGAAGAGCCATCTCAACGATGCAACGAAAAAAAAAAGAGTATGTAATCTAATAAAAACTAAAAACTAAAAACTGAAAACTAAATAAAAGCTAACTATTAGACTATTAAATACTACTACTAAATGAATATTCTTTTTGTCCACAAAGCCTCTACAAACCTACTTTAATAACAATAAATCCGAATAACATGCTACTTAATCAGTGTTGGAAAATTATTACATTAAACCAAGTTTACTTGAGGCAATGAATAGCCTTGGAGTGTGTTGTTAGTTTTTTCTGGAGATGTCTGTCAATCATTTTATAAAACTGAATCTCAGTGTCCACGTTTATTAATCCTACACAAAAATTTAAAATACAACTTTAGTAATTGGTAAAATCAATCAAACTGTCCATTATGGCCCATTTGACATTTATTGGTGGAATTTTATTAACAAAGAAAGAAATACAAAAAACCATGTTATCCAATTAAGAATTAATATGAGAATTGAAGATGAAAAAGAAATTGTTATCCGAATAGTTGTAAATACAGATGAGAATGGAGTGATTTATTCAACATCAAGCGAAGTGATAAATGAAAATTATAATTTTTTTTTGATAAATGACACGTTATTTTGGGCCAAGCATTTGATGATATTTGTTGATGTTACAATTACCTAGTGGTTCACTATTATTACCATTACTATTATTATTATCATTACTACTATTCTTATCATTATCACTTCCACTATTACTACTGCTAATAATAATATTATTATTATTCAATGATATACCCTTAATTCACCGCCATTATTATTATTTAATGGTTCACCATTACTATTACTACTATTATCTTTTATTCTGCTACGAGTATTATGGTTTTGGGGGTGGGGCAAATTAATGGTAGATTTTTTCCTCTTCGTAATTCTAAGTAGAGAATATCATTTTTTTATCATTGTATAAAAAAAATTACATTTATCAGCCGGTTAAACCATTTTTTTTCTCTGCCGGTTGACATCACTAACAAATTATTTATTTATTTATTTTTGATTAGGACTATCTTATGTTAAAAAGGAGTAATAGTAAGAGTCATCTTTCACAAAAAATAAACTAACTCGAATAGCTCAATTGTGTTGAGTGCTCACAGTTTTAATCATAGTGTGTGTAATGAAAGCTGGCAATCTTTGGAGTTTGGAATCCACCTTTCGCCCAAGATAACCCGAACCAATGAAAATACTCAAGAATGTTCGAGGATATATTTACTGTAGCGCACAAATAAACATAAACATTATGGAACAAATGAGAGAACTAATTACGAATATATAAAGGTGGCGTCCACTTTACACAAGTTTCCCGATTAACTGCAAAAGTATCGATTGATTCGGATGTCATAATAATATATATCAAAGGTATATGGAATAGCAAAATGTCAATAGATATAATCAGACACAACAACTATTTTCTTCCCTTCTGGGATTTTTTCTTGTTGACAACATCTGAATGAGAGATTGGTGGTTACGAAATATTCTTAATTTGTTCGATTTGGATGGACGCAATATCATTATTAGTATTTTTGTTTTAACTCAACAAATATCAAATTAATTAAATTTCAACAAAAAAATGAAAATTTTTGAAATTAATAAAGATATTTGAAGATTATATCCCGTCTCCAAATTTACTTGATATTGTGAATACTCCCACCCACTCTCAAAAAAAAAACCAGAAGGTGAATTTATTTATCTAAGCTTGAATCGTAATTACAAATTCAGTCGTAGACAAGTAATTAATTATGTATTCGGCTGCAAAATAAATAAATGATTATGGATTTAGTTGAAAAACAATAATTAATTACGGACCTTAGTTGTAAAACAAAAAATTAATTGCCAAACTGAGACATAAAAAACAATTAATTAAATTAATTACGGATTCACTTGCAAACCAAATAATAGCAATTACGGATCCAGTCTAAAAACAAATAATTAATTGGGAAAAAGTTGTAACACCAGATACTTTTTCTTGAGGTCAATTATTTTCCCATATATTTTGTTCATATATAACCATCACTACTTTTAAATGTTAATGAACAAATAAATATTGTGTTTAGCCATCATATGGGTAGAAAAAATGTAATCCATAAAGGTTTCGCATGGTGGAAGCATTGAGCACAACGACCGTTTTTTACAACGGCTTTGCAACTGTTTTACAATATTAGTGAAATATTATGTAAGTTATCGTAAAAACAGTTGTTATGCTCAATGCTTCCACCATGTAAAATCTTTGTGAATTACATGTTTTCCACCAGTATATCATTTTTGCATTCTTTTTCCGCACGTTTTTAACGAGTGTCTTATAACCATAATGATGGAATGTTTCGCCTTCAAGTATTGTACAGCACCTATCAAGAAGTACCAGATGTCCCGAGTACATTAATTATACAAAAAATCATATCGATTTGTAGCTTAAGTTCTGAAGATTATGTGTATAAATTTCATGCCTTTATGTTTTTGGAACCTTGGCAATTAAAAATAAAAGAAATTCGATTATTTTTGAAAAAAAAAAATTCCAAAGCCTACAAAATAATTTCATGATTTTGGTTAGAAATCAATTTTAGAATTCATGCACCATTCTTTTCGTAGACGCTTATAAGGATGATGAGGATAATAATAATAATAATAATAATAATTGAAAAATGGTATCGGAATGCAGTAACAACAACAACAACAACAACAACAACAACAATAATACTTATTAATTTAATCCAACTACATTTAATTATGTATATCATTCATTCATTATATTGGTAAGATATGTGCAAATTCGGGCGCATTTTAT